ATCTCATCTCAATGTTGCCAAACTTAGTGACCTTCATATAATGTTAAACAACAATTTTAGTTATTCATTGTTATTATTATCATTATTATTATTATTAGCATTCAATTTTGGTGATGAACTTATGACTTTGATTGATTTACCAACTAGTATTGTCAATATGATTGCTCTCATAATGTCATGATACTTTGGGAGCTATGAAGACATTTCATACTCGAGAAACAAAAAATAATTGAGATGGTTGACAACCACGTTGAATTCCGAAGCTTAATTGGGGGATGTTCATTTTCCCTCACGTTTGACCGTATTGTGGTTTATTTGGAGCAGTTGTTGTTGTTTGAAGAAACAATTATGAATCTACTGTTCCAAAAGCTGTGGTGGCTATTACATTTTCTTTTTTAAAGTTAGACCACAGTTTTTTAGCTGCCAGGACAGGTAAACAGGTCTGATGAGAAAACACAACTTTTAGTTGTACTTTTTTGAGGGTACAGACAAAACACAATTTTGTGACAAAAAAAAATATATGTTACGACCCTACACACACACTCTTAATCCCCAACTTTGTTGCGCTTAACACTCAAATACCACAAAAGTATATATATATATATATATATATATATAATGGTATTCTGATTATGGTTGGGTGATTGTCAAAGGGGATTTGGAAATGTGGATTCATTGATGATGCGTATCACAGGTATGGGGCAGAGCATTGCTTACAACTTTTCTCAAATATGAATTTTGGGATAACACATTTGAAAGTCCTCCCGGGTGAATTCAAAATTCTTCAAAAAATGGCTTAGTAATACAATTTTCCTTTAAAAAAAATATTTATTTATTCATTTATTGCTGTCAGCATGCCTTCAACTGCCCAACCAACAGAAGAAAATGTTTTATTTTTTTAATTATTTTCTTTTGAATCATAAGCAATAGAGTATGATTATAGTAATTAGTTGGAACTAGAATGCTCCAAGTGAGTGGCTAACACCAGAAAAAAAATGGGGTCCCAACTACATCATCACATCTCCACCCGCCACATAGCCTGAAAATTAAAATTAAAAGTTGGGAACAGTTTGCATTCGTCGATCAAATTCAACTTTTTTAAAAGAATTATTGATCCAAATGTCTCAATCCGTGCCATTATTCAAGTCAAAATCAACGGAAAAAAGCCTTCTCAAATAATGAGTTCTTACGTAAGCTGTGTCAAAAAGTAAATTACAAGATAATCTTTAGCTGGTAACCAATGGATATATGCAGATAGCTCAATAAACTTACGATCCTTCAGTGTTGACTCAATACTCAGATCTAAATCGGATCTAATCAAATACTAGTTTTATAATAATCCGACTACTTACCATCTTTATCCCATCACAATCCTGGCTAATTTAATGCATAACTAAAAGCACCTATGCAAATCAGATGGAACTGAAACTCACAGGTGTTGTTTGGTTAGAAACATTACGAGTATTGCATTCCTAATGCAGGTGTTTTCGAAATTCTGTTATTTGTTCAAAAGAAATTGGAAATTGGAATTCAACGTAAAATATCATTGCATTTGAAATTCGGTTTTCGAAATTCTGTTATTTGTTCAAAAGAAATTGAAATTCAACGTAAAATATCATTGCATTAGAAATTCGATCTTTAATTTATATCATCTAAATTTGAAATTCATCTAGTTTGGTTGAATTTAAAAAAGATGTCTGAATGTAAAATGTTGTACAACCACCCCGTCACCGTCTACTAGCGGCACCGCCACCATCCGGCTCAGCTACCTGCCTTCGGCCGCCTCTAGCCACCATTACCACCCACAACCATCTGCCTCTGTTGCCCGCCTACGGCCGCCACCAGCCACCGATCACCTCAACGACTACCAATGTCGCCACCCGCAACAACTGACAAATGCATTATTTCAAAATACATTATTTTCATTTTGCTTCAAATAAAAAACATGGTTCAATTTTCTTATAGCAAACTAAACACTCCAAGATATTTTATATAATACATTATGTTTATTTTATAGTGCATCACCTTTTCAACAAACCAAACAGTCTGTTAGATGGGCTTTTAGAAGCAAGCCCAAAACAAGATAGCAATTAGACATTTAGACTAAATCAGATGAATTATACACTCTCGAATGATGATTGGTGAGTACAAGTGGTTGAGCGCGAATGACCGAGTATGAGTGGCTGAGTACGAGTAACCAAATACGAGAGGCCGAATAGTCGATCATGAATGATTGCATACAAACAACTGAATGAAGACATAAAAGAGGAGACCGCCGAGACGCCCATCACCAGTCAGATAACTAACTGACTTGGAAGAAAATATTCAAGAAAATCTTGTATTTAATGATAACATGATAAGGACAACTAGATGTCGCAAAGGATCCAAACATCATTAGACCTGTGATCCACTTTAAAAGTGTAAGAACTAAATACAAAATGAATTCCAAGCTTCCTACTTATTGGATCTGATCCCTAATGATTTGAACCATATTCATCCCCTTTAACTCCCTGCTTTCTCTAAAATTCTAACGGATCAATCTTCTAATTATAAACAAAATATTAATAAATATATAATTCACAAAATGACCCACCACAAGAAATTATGGAGGCATGTGACCGTAATTTTGGTGACCTGGCCACTGAATTAATAGCCATCCATAAAAGTCAAACAAGCAGCCACTAAACATAATTCCAATTTGGCAATTTCCAATGCATAATCAGTAAGTTAATTATTTATAATATTCTCCTAATTTAAACACTAGTGGAGACCAGCTGTTCGCACGTTGCTCTCAGCCCAGCCCTAATTTTCTATAAAACCATATACTTACAATTATAACCTTCTCTCGCACGTTGCTCTCAGCCCAGCCCTAATTTTCTATCACAAACATAAAACCATATACTTACAATTATAACCTTCTGATCTTTTACATTATATGGTTTCCTTTCTTATTTAGGCGTAAAAAAGGAACAAAAACCCACCACCGTTATTTTCACCGCCATTCCTCCGTGTCACAAGGAGAACAGCCCTCCTGCGCTATTTCGGTGATCTGAACTCCCGTATCGTACACCTCGCCGGACCGCCACTCAGCCGGCAACACCTCCTGTTGGGCCCACACCCACTTGCCGTCGTACCCACCCGTCACCACGAACCGGAACTGAAGCGGGCCGCCCGGTGCTTGCCTGGTGGTCCAGACCGGGCCGTTGAGCCGGGTCATGAACTGCCATGCTGGCGAACCGAACCGCGCCACGTCGACTGCCACGACGTCAGTTTGTCCACCTTGGTAGATAAGTTTGACCGTTAATAAACTGGGCCTCCGGCTGCTCTCCTCCACTCTTATGGATAGGTTCTTGTTTGAATAGTCGCACGGAATCCTGCAATTGTCCGCATAAATCTAGTATGGGTCAATAAATTTGAATCCGCTTCATTTAAATGACTGGTCTATTCGTTTGACTAGTTTATATTAGGTTGAAATTTTATATAGGATTGAAAATTAATGCTTCCTACGCTCGTAACAACTACATAAATTTAATAAAGCTGGGACCTATTTCTCTAACATTTAAAATATAAGAGAAATTTAATATAAAATAAAATTATAGGCCGAAAGAGTATTTTTCCTCGATATAATAATTAATTAATTGTTTAAAAAAAATGTATTGATTTGAAGGAAAAATATAATAAAATATATTTAATCATATATATACATATATATA